TGGGAGGGAGGAGGGAGACGCCACGTGCTTGCAGCTGTGGTCCCTGCACCAGCCGGGCAGGCCAACCGGCCGTGTCTCAAGACTCCTGAACTTGGGAAGGCCTGAGGTCCGGCGGGTGCACAGCCACAACCACAGCCAGACGGGTGCCACCAGGGGGGGCTTTACCAGCAGCCCGGCTTGGAAGGAGCTGGTATTACAGGATGGCAAAGGAACAGCCTCAGGGAGGGTGTCTCAAAGTGGGAAGCATTTCTCACACATCTTTCTAAGGAGCCACCCCACACGGTTGGCCTATGATGGTGGTCATGGATCCTCCCCATCAGGGAGCAGGTGGGTTGGTTTCAATCATCTCACCTGTTGAAATGCAGTATCACAAGCTGCTCTGAGAATGGGTGCCTTGGAAAACTGATATATTAAGTGGATCAGTTATCAATATGTAAAGCCTTCTTCCATTCCCCTCCAACCCCCCCCCGGCCCCCGCCCTTCTTCTTAGGAGATTGTGGCATCAGAAATCCCGAGGATCAAGCCACCACCCGAGCGGGTGCAACGGCGTGTGAAGCTGCAGGAAGCTCCTTTGGCAACAGAGGTGAGGAGGGGAGGCAGGAGGGAAGAGCGTGGGAAGGGGGGGGCGTTGCTGTTGGTTACCAGGACTGGGGCCAGAGGGAGGGCCTTGCCATCCCCCCCCCCATATTTTGATTATGTTTTGCTTGTTTTTATCGGCACAAATGGTCCTTCCATTTCTGAAGGCGTGGGAGGTGCTGATGAACCAAGAGCCATCCAGGAGGAGGATCTGAGACCTTCTGGGTAAAACCCAACCGTGGGCATTTGAGCCCGTTGCTGGAGGCGATGAAGTGGGGGCACTGGGACAGAGAAGGGTCTCCCCCTCACCCCCTCTCTCCCCAGCCCTCCCCTGTTTCTCCTTTCCTCAGCAGGACACAGGACGGGCCAGTGTGACACCCCAGGGATTCCCCCAGAAAAATGCTTCCAATGTAGATAACGTGGGTAAGTGCACCCTTGCAGCCACAGTGCACACACCGCGGGGGCACAGGCCGAGAGAGAGCAAGCGCCCCTCCCTGTGAAAAGCTCTCCAGGTCCAAGTGAAGGGCCAGGGTCAGTCCTCCCTTGCCAGGCCTTTCTCCCAATGAGTGAAAAAGCCTGATGTGTGTGGGGTGGGGAGAGAAAGAATGGGGCTTAGAAGTAGCCCTCTTCCCTGGGGCAAAGTGCCCGGCCTGGCTATATCCAAGTGCCGTATTAGTTACTCACCGCTAACTCTTTTTCCCAGTAACTAGAACTACCTTACATGACGACTGTGACTTAACCAAGGATGGCTTGAGTGGTGTGGCTTTTCCTTCTTGCACAGTGACGGGGATGAAACCTCATGAAATGGTGAAGAACAAACTCTACACCGTTCACGCCCTGGCTCTGGCCAGGCTGCCTGCTGCTAAACGTGAAGATAGCCAAACGTGTTTGTTTGCTGACGTAAGCAATTCTTGCTTTTAGTTATTTCTGAGAACGAAGACCTGCTTTCTAAAAGTGTCATTTTGCGGGTAATTACTTTCCAGGGTCCTGGGATTACAAGTGTAACTCATTGCAATTTTGGTGCCGCTTCTCCAGCAGGGTTTGGAACACCCCCTTCTCCTTAAACCTAAGCATTATCCTTCCTCTTTCCAGCTTCCGGCCCTTCCCTTAAAAGAAGCCCACTCTGACCCATAGCAGTGGGACGTGCACAGTTCTCTCCATGCAAGCACCCGCCTGTCACGCTTCCCGAAGGACCGTAGGCTGCCGTGAGAGCGAACGACGTTGAGCCAGGTTGCCTTCATCCACGTAACAGCAATAAAAAGCCTGCATTCCTGCAGTGAGTCTCAGATCTGAAGCAGTGGCCTTTTTTCCAGCCCTAGGATGTCCAGCTTCATATATAGATTAGATGTAAACAGTTACAAAAAGGTGGATTTATGTGATTATTTCCTTTTCTCAATTATGAAAAAAAAAAACATCCACTAATGGACCACTGGAGAGTCACAGGGGAGGGTCTCTAAGGGTCTGTGATGGTCTGGCTGGAAATGAGGCAGACAATGTGCTCTGCCTGAACATGGGCCTCACCCCCTGATTCCCACTTGCCCTGAATAGAAACAATTTTAACTCTTTACTTGGGCCATTTATTATTGATCTCTGGGACAAGCTGACATAGTCCTGTCAAATAAACTAAATTGTTGGAGATCACAAGCTGAATATGAGCCAACCATGCAATGTGGCTGCAAAAAAGGCAAATGCTGTTTTAAGATGCATTAGTATAATCTCTGAATCCTGTGAAGTACTCGTTCCCTTCTTTTGAGCACTGGTTAGGCCTCATCTGGAGTATTGTGTCTAGTTCTGAACACTCCACTTCAAGAATGATGCTGACAAATTGAAACAAGTTCAGAGGAGGGCAACAAGGATGATCAGGGGGCTGGAAACCAACCCTTATGAGGAAAGGCTGAAAGAATTGGGTCTGTTTAGCCTTGAGAAAAGAAGATTGAGGGGAGATCATAGGATAGCACTTTTCAAATCCTCAACAGACTGACATGCAGAGGAGGGGCAGGATCTGTTCTCAGTCATCCCAGAGTGCAGGACACGCAACCTTGGGCTCGAGTTAAAGGAAGCCAGAATTCAGCCGGATATCAGGAAAAACTTCTTAACTGTCAGAGCAGTACAACCACAGGACCCATAGATCTTGAGAGGTGGTGAGTGCTCCAGCACTGGAGGCCTTCAAGAGCAAAATTGGGCTACTCTCTCTCAGATCTGCTTGGATTTCGATTCCCGCCTTGCACCAGGGGTAGGACTGGATGGCCTTCGAGGCCCCTTCCCGCTCCGTGACTCTAGGAGTCTAACTCTTCTGCGCCACCCCTTCACCCTGTGGCCTGATGCACAGCTTGTTACCATTTGGGCTGCTGTTCCAGAGTCCCCTGGCCCACCAACGAAGAGAGGCCCACCCGGGAGGTGTGCGCATAGGCAGAGGGATCTGGACTCACACAAGGAAGTGGGCAGACGGGCATACAGTAGGCAGAGGTGGGGCCTGAGGCACTGGGCACCTGAGAGTGGCGAGCCTCCTGCTCTTCCCAGTCGCAGGGCATCCTTTGCAGGCAGCGCATGGAGCTGGTCAGCAGCGAAGGAGCCCCGCACATCGAGCCTGAAAGCCCCTTCACCGTGAGGCCGGGGCTTTTTTCTTCCTGAGCTGCATCATTACGCCCTCTCCGTCCATGCTGGATAGGAAGAATGAGAACATTTAGAATGTTGGACCTCAAGAGAGTTGGGTTCAAGACCCACCCCATCCTCATAAATTCCTCTGAGTCAACCTTGAGCCTGTCCCTTTCCATCAACCTGACCTTCCGGACAGGGTGATGTGAAACAGAAGTGGAGAGGAGAGCAGCCGTGAACACTCCCTTGAGCTTAGTGGGAAGAAAAGCAGGAGGTCCCCCTGAACCCATTCGGAAATTTAAGCTGATTAAGTCACGGGTGTGATGGGCACCAATCAGGCACCAGAAAGGGCAAAGTCCACGCTCCCTCCAGTGCTCAGTGGCATTCCCCCTGCTTCCCTGGAAGATGATATGCCTGGGATTTCAAATGGAAAATTCAGCATGCAACGGGCGAATCTGGACCGATCAGGAAAGCTGCCTTGACCGGAATAAAGGGTTCGTGTGCTGCTGCTCCAGGCTTTAATGATTTACCTATCAGGGGTTGGGTGGCTCTTTTATCACCCAAAGGGGAACCAGACATGATGCCAGCCCCTTTCGGAAGAACTGCTTTCCATTTGGCGTGAACTCCTGGGGGGCTCTTCGGAGGAACGATCGTCGCTGGCTGCTGTGGTTCTGGATGGTCGCTGGGCTTCTTTGCTTCCACCTACGCATGAACAGAACTGGTGCAAACAAGCAGTTTTTGTTCCTTTTTCGGGTATGTTTCCCTCTTCCACCCACGCGCAGAGGCACTTGCAGACTGCGAGCTGCACTCCCTGCAGCAGATCAGGTGCACCAGGGCCCAGGCCAACCCCTTCCTGCAAGGAATGGCAGAAGAGTCCTCCAGGTGCAGGAAGACTCGCCCTGTTCGTAGGGGACAGGAGGGGGAGTTCTGACCACATTGCGGTGCTGAACTCTGGGGAGGGAACATCCTTCCCGGATGGAGCGCATGCGTTTTCCCTGCAGAAAGTTCCTGGGTCCAGTCCCTCCCCATGCCTCTGGGTAGCGTTGGAAAAAATTCCTCTCTGTAGTTCTGCAGTCCCTTGGCGGCTGCCAGTCAGAGTCAGCAAAGAGTGGGCTTGGTGGGCTGACTCCTTAGAAGCCAGCCTCCGGGGCTTCCAACCCTCTCGTGAAGGAGTCTTGCATGGAATGCACACGTAGGTCGGTTTGCACTTTAGACTGTCACATGTGGCCAGGAGAGGACCTGGCCTGTTTGGCCTCCCCGGGGGCTTCCTTCAAGCCCCTTAGAAAACGAACATGAAGGGCAGCAGAGCAGGCTCACCGCTGCCACTGCAGTCGGTCCCTCTGACTATTCCCTGACAAGCGAGGTTCTCTTTCCACCTTGCATCCCTCAAGCAGGTCCCCTTCTCAGCCGCTAGAGGGTGGCCGTTGCTGGCCTGCGAATGCCAGAAGCATCACCCCAGCCCGCACTTTTCCACCTGGGGTTGGCTCTGCTTTGGTCTCAAGTTTGACCAGTGTTCAATTAAAAAGGATAAGCTTCTAATTTGGTCAGTACCTGCACTGGGAATCCATACCAGGCCATAGTCTCTTTTGGGTGCCTTTTTTTTTCCTTGATCAAAAGAGACTGAGAGTATGTAAGCTTTGGGGATTAATAAAAATAAGGGAGAAGGAAGAGGAAGCAGGAGTGCCTTGATTTTAAATGGTGAGCATGAAGGCTGTAAGGATGAAGCATCCCCCCCTCCCCGCCCTCCTGATGATTTCTGTAGCCTGGAGGCAGAGGCCGAGATCTTAACTGCAAAATGTGTGGCCACCTTGTGTGGCTGATGCTGGTGCTGCTGCTGGCAGCGGTTACGGTTGGCAAAATCCAGGTATACCTCCCGTCAGGAGATGGGGATGTATTTCTTGCCAACAGAGTTGGCTCCCCCTCCTTCTGTTTACGTCGGCCAGGTCTGAGAGAATTGATCTGCTTCACTCTCCGTAACTCCCCAGGAAGCAGGAAGTCAAATCTCTGGGCCAGAAGGAAGGAGAGTTTTGCAGAAGGAGACTCTGAGGTTTCTCTCCTGCCTCCCTGAGGAAGGCCAAGGGGAAGACCGAGTGAAAGATGGAGTGCCGCCAATAAAGGGAAGCCCCAGCCTGGCATTTGCAAAACTGGAGCAGGGCTGTTCATTATGAGCTTCTGGAGGCCAGTAATTCATCCGGTTACCATGTGCCGGAAGCAAGCTGACCACATACAGTATAGCAACCATTTTAAGCTAGCCCATCTTGGCTGCAAAGCAGGGTCTAAATGTAAAGAAGGCCTTCCCGCAAAATAAAGTGTCCTTTTGTGATACCACAGACGGCTAGAGTTTCTGACTTGCCACCAGGAGGGCTCTTAAGAACATAACCTCAGAAGAGGCCTCCTGGATCAGGCCAGGGGTCCCTCTTGTCCAGCTCCCTGGAACTCACGGTGGCCCCACCAGATGCCTCTAGGAGCACCAGAGAGACCCAGAGAATGCGACCATCAGCCATTCTCATGACATTGAGAGACCCAGAGAGACCTGTCTCCTGATCCCCCTCTTCCCCTGCATCTGCCATTTTGAGGTACTTTCTGTGCATCTGCATTCTCTCTGAGGGCATTAGTCAAACGGAGAGGGACAGCGTGTGGGTGGTGCCCACCTGGCCCAGGCCATGCAGCTGTGACAGCCCCCCCCAAGCCTTCCCTTTAACTCTGACCACTTTTGGATCCCCCAAATACTAGCTTAGATGCTATGCAGAGTGAAGAACCAAAGAGGATCAGAGGCACCCAGGACCTAGCTGGAGAATCCTTTTCCTGCCTCCCTTTGCACCTATTCAGTACCTCATTTAGTTAGGCATCCTTCAGTCTCGAAAGACTATGGCGACGTGCTCTGTATGGAGGACTTGGAACAGCGTCTAGTGTGGCTGAAGAGGCCAATTCGAGAGTGACCATCCCTTCCACACTGAAGACAAATCCAATCTGTCCCCTGTCCAGCTCCCTGGTTTTGCTGCTTTCGTAACTGCCCCTTTGCCTCGGCCTGCTGGACAAGGGTCTCTTCAAATTGGGAGAGGCCATGCTGCCCCGCCTGCCTCCAGGCTGAAAGCTCCGATATCAAGGTTTCCCATCTGTTGAGGTCCATTCCTAAGGCCTTCAGATCCCGCTTGCAGATCTCCTTGTATCGCAGCTGTGGTCTCCCTCTGGGGCGATTTCCCTGCACTAATTCTCCATACAGGAGATCCTTTGGAATCCGACCATCAGCCATTCTCACGACGTGCCCAAGCCAACGTAGACGTCGCTGTTTCAGTAATGTATACATGCTGAATATTCCAGCTCATTCTAGGACTACTCTGTTTGGAACTTTGTCCTGCCAGGTGATTCCCAAAATCTGTCGGAGGCAACGCATATGGAAGGTGTTCAGCTTCCTCTCCTGACGTGCACAAAGGGTCCAGGACTCACTGCAGTACAGGAGTGTGCTCAGGACACAGGCTCTATAGACCTGGATCTTCGTATGTGGCGTCAGCTTCTTATTGAGCCATACTCTCTTTGTGAGTCTAGAGAACATGGTAGCTGCTTTGCCAATGCGTTTATCCAGCTCGACATCCAGGGAGAGGGTGTCAGAGACGGATGTCAAAGGGGTCTGATGTTGAGCCGTCAAAAACTAGAGTGCCTTTCATTCCATCATGGAAGGATCTGA